GTCTGGGTATCGTTTTGCGTCCTGCTGGCTGCTGCGAGCGCAGAATCCTCCTTGGCTGCCGCGTTGGCATCGATGGATATCCCATATGCATGCATGCACCATTGCGCCGATCGAATCGGCCCGTACGTGCATGCATGAATCATCGCATCGACTCCATCCATCTCACCTTCTGTACCTGTACCTGTACGTCCGTCCGTCCCGTCGAGTGTGCGTGCGAGCGAGCACCGAGCATGCACGCAGGCCGACCGGCCCCGTGCGTGTTGTCACCTCGTGAGACTGAGCAGAGCCAATAGCACACTGCACGTACCGAAAAAAACTGGGTGGGAACCATCGGTGGTGCGGACTGTGCAGCTAGTTGGTGGACTACTGTACTATTTTAAGCATACGGATAGTAAAGCAGATACTTATGGCCACACGTCAGCCACACATCCTCACTGTATTTCCGTAGAGATGGTCCGTACTGATTTTTTCCCGCACGTACTCGTAGCTGCATGCATGCATGCGTAGGACGATCTAAAGGAGCACGGCAACATGGTCTGTCTCTCTGCGTCGAGCTCTCACATCATGCATTATACTTCGATATATCTGGGTGGAAGTGGAATGCACACTAGTACAGAGACGGTCTTTACTCTCGGTAGGGAACCCCCTCTAGTCCCGGTTCCCCACTCAGAAGCAAGCATCCGGGACTAAAGGGGGTCCTTTAGTGCCGGGTCAGGAACCGGGACTAAAGGGGGACCTTTAGTCCCAGTGGGTAACACCAACCGGGACTAAAGGTGCCTCCTGACATGCCACGAGGCCGGCACCCTTTAGTCCCGGTTGGTAATACGAACCGGGACTAAATGTTATTTTTTTTTCTTTTCTTTTCATTTTTTTGTTTTCTTTTCAAAATAGGTTTTCGAAGTCGTATTGTACGCCGCTAATAATACATTTATACGCACGTATAGTATGTTTCGGTTCAAGCACAATGAACGTATTAAATGACACAATTCAAGCATAGAACTATATATATATATGCATGCATGCATCATATATATATTTACATGCATGCATGCATATGTGTATTTTACATTATATTATTTCATATCCATATATTACAAAAGATTGCATTACAGTTGTTGTGATATAACAAGTTTCCTCTCATCCTCTAGCTTGGCTTCCATGGCAGTGTTGGGTCGAAGTAGAACTCGCCCTTGGAATCGATGACCTGGTCATTAAAAAATCCGGCTATAGACTCTTGAATTGCTTTGATTTGGTCTTGTCGTATGACCTTTTCCTCCAACCATCGAGCCTACATGTTTGAATTAAAGGAAAATAAATTAATAAATGTACATACATATATATATATAAAGACATAGTAACACAATCAATAATAATAATTAAATGAATATATAGTGTATTTTTAACGTACTTTGAGTCTCTCTGTAGGAGTTCTTTGGGAGACCTCCTTGATAAACGTGCAAACATAGTAACAACAGTAGTTGTTCCCCTATTCCTGCCTCAGACACCACTTTACGAGAAAAAGAATTGTCATCCAATCTGGTGATCCGGTGAAAGCTATATGTTTAATTAATAAAGATGATGCGATTTAGGAGACTTCTTCTTCCACATGGGTGCGTGACCGTTAGCGTCGTTCGGAACAGGTTGGCTGCCATGTCCTTTTCCAAAGACGACTTTCACATCATTGACCATATCGAGTACATCCTCACCGGTTCGGTTGCGAGGCTTGGTCAGGTGGTCTGCCTTCCCTTTAAAATGCTTGCCTTTCTTTCTTACGGGGTGATTTGCAGGAAGAAATCGACGATGGCCAAGGTACACGACCTTTCAACATTTTTTCAAGAATACACCTCTAATATCACCGAAGCAGTGTGTGTATGCATTATATCCCTTGTTTGACTGTCCTGAAAGATTACTTAGAGCAGGCCAATCATTGATTGTTACGAACAACAATGCTCGCAGATCAAAGTGTTCCTATTTGTACTCATCCCACACACGTACACCTTCTTTATTCCATAAAATGAGAAGTTCGACAATAAGTGGTCTCAGGTGATCTTCTAGCAAGTTGGGTATAGCAATTTCTTGTGATCTTCTAGCATCCGCTCGAACTTGATCTTCTCCTTTTCACTTTCACATTCTCTTTGTGCGTCACGAATGACCTGACAAAGATCATCAGCAGGCTCATCTTCTGCGGCTATCTCTTCTTCAGCTTCTCCCATTGCAGTATCATTGAAGCACGCACCATCGGGAATAATATCATTGTCGTCCCATTGTTCTTCTTCACCTTCTTCCATTACAACGCCGGTTTCTCCGTGCTTCGTCCAACAAATATAGTTTGGCATGAAACCCGACTTGAACAAGTGTGAATGAAACCCGACTTCGTACAACGCCGATTTCATTGAAGCACGCGGGCTCGGGGAGGAAGAAGACGGCCAGCAGGATTTATAGGGGGAACCTTTAGTCCCGGTTGGTGGATCCAACCGGGACTAAAGGTCACTTTTCAGTCCCGGCACCAACCGGGACTAAAGGTCACTTTCCAGTCCCGGGCCACTCCACTAGCCGGGACAAAGAGCTTTACTCCCGGTTGGAGCCACCAACCGGGAGTAAAGGTCGACCTTTAGTCCCGGTTGGTGGCTCCAACCGGGACTAAATGTCCTCTGCCACAACGGCCTGGTGCAGGAGCCGTTGGGCAGGGACCTTTAGTCCCGGTTGGAGCCTCCAACCGGGACTAAAGGTCTCTCTAATCCCGGGCGTAATATTTTCCGGGACTAGAGCCTGGTTTGGCCCTTGGATCAAAGGCCTGTTCTCTACTAGTGGCACAATGCACATGGCGGCCCCCGCCCCCCGGCATAACACCTGTTCACCCGTTAATTACAACAACCCTATAGTTAACTGATACGGACTTACTATTACTAATACCACTACATCTGCTGCGTTAGAAATCAGACCCACAACGACAAGTTGTCTGTTAATCTCCACGTGTGGAAACATCGATTTTAGATCTAACAAAACGAATATGCACAGAGGACACAAAGAGGCACAATATTTGTTAACGAGATTCAACCGAAGCTACGACATCCCCGGGACATGACTACGACGGGTGCTTCTCGCCAATATCAGCAAAACCGCTCGTTTTAGGTCCCGGCAGCATGTCACCGCCCTCTTGTGAATATGTCGTTGTGCCATCATGGTTACAACATCAGTCCTCCTATCATATTTACGAGGAGACTAGGTTACAGAGTCCGACTCCAACTCTATCCTATATTATCAAATACAACTCGAAATTCTAGCACTACCAAACTCATACATAATAATATTCGGTATATATCTAAGATGCATGCTGATTTGCATCGCTAACTAGTAGGATGTGCTTGTATATTAAATAATCTCTCAGTCTGTGATAGCTTAATTATATCTGAGCGTCTGGTCAAGCTGAAGTACGACGTTCACAGTCCTGCGCATGCATTCGCATCTACAAGCAAGATTTGATAGATGTTGCTGATCGATGCATGTACATATAATCAAGCACATGGCCCGCTTTGCCCTGGTGGTAAAGGACGCGTTCATAAACGCACGGGGCCACGAGGTGACAACACGCACGGGGCCGGTCGGCCTGCGTGCATGCTCGGTGCTCGCTCGCACGCACACTCGACGGGACGGACGGACGTACAGGTACAGGTACAGAAGGTGAGATGGATGGATTCGATGCGATGGTTCATGCATGCACGTACGGGCCGATTCGATCGGCGCAATGGCGCATGCATGCATATGGGATATCCATCGATGCCAACGCGGCAGTCAAGGAGGATTCTGCGCTCGCAGCAGCCAGCAGGACGCAAAACGATACCCAGACCTCCGGCGTCGAGCAGTGCCACGCTGAGGTCTGCGGCTCGGCGTGAAGTAACGCAGCGCCGAGGTACGCAGGGCCCAACGCCTTTGTGGCAACTGCGACCGGAGTCCGCGCTGACGTGGCAAAAGTTCGGCGTTGTCTGACACAGCGCCGAGCCTCATACCTTGGCGTCGTGTCCTAATACGCCGGAAAATGGTCTATTGTCAAAAAAACGTTTCGACAGGAAGCTATTTGTAAAAAATGTTTTTAAAAGGGACAAAAATGTAAAAATTTCACCAACAGCAACAGCAACTCAATATCAGTCTTTTAGTGATTCGTAAAAGAAAAAAAAAATCTACATATGACTTCATATTCATATATGAAAAAATTATGATTTTTGTATATGTATAAGAGGAGAGGAGAGACAAAGAGGGGGAAAACAATAAAGACCACCTGCCATGTGGACTCCACTGCCACATCAGTAAAACTACATGAGAAGCTGCTTTTAGATGGTCAAGATAGGTAGAAGTTGGAGGACTATAATTTCTGGTATTCGATCGAGTTCAGGCCTTGAAGGAGCTTTTTTGTGTTTCAAAATGCCTTTTCAGTAAGAAAAATAGGGGGCATTGATAACCCTCTGCAGGTCAACTGGAAACTGACACTGCACGAAGTAGGAAGAACAGGACTAGCACTAGGTCTATAAGCCTTACAAGTAAGCTTCCACTGCTAATCATGCATGCATCGAGTAAAGTAGCAGGATCAAAAGCAAGAGCTTCCAGATTCTTCCAGTGGCCTTGTTCCATCACAACACAGAGCAAAGCCCCACCCCCACTCGCCATGCTCTTCCTATAGTGTCAGGCCCCATCCCCTTTTGCACCACCTTACTCCACTACTACTCTCTAACAAGATACAAACAACACCACTCGGAAATTCAGGCGTCCAATGGCCACAGCACCACAACTTTCGTGCCACCAAATCACCAATAAGCCAAGCACTATTCCTATCTGTGAAACCCTGCTTTTGTGTCCTATAAATGCCACTGCTTTGCAGCAGGAGAGTCCAGGAGTTGAGAGGAGGAGATACATAGCATATACTGATATCCTCCTTTGAACATAAAACTGAATCCATAGAAAGGAACACAATGTATACAGCAGGTGCATTATTGTTCCGGCTTAGGATGATGTCTCGACAACCGATCATGACCATTTTCCTTGGCATCGCCATCACCGCGCTTGCTGCCCTTGCTCTCACATCCGAGGGCCGCATTTCTCGAAAGGACCTGAGCATCGACCTCGGCGGTGGCAGCGGCGCAGGCATTGGGATCGGTACTGGGATTAGCATCGGCATAGGTGGTGGCGGTGCCGGTGGCTCTGGCTCTGGCTCAGCGTCCGGGTCGGGATCAGGCTCTGGCTCGGCCTCAGGTTCCGGGTCCGGTGCCGGTTCATCGGCGGGATCCCGTGCGGGCTCTGGTGCAGGATCGTATGCTGGCTCTGGCGCCGGCTCTGGTGCGGGGTCAGGAGCTGGTTCCGGCACGGGTTCGGGTTCAGGTTCAGGTTATGGTTATGGTCAAGGGCAAGGTGCAGGTGAAGGTCACGGCCAAGGATCTGGGTATGGCGAAGGGCATGGGTCGGGCCAGGGCCAGGGTTCCGGGTCTGGCTCCGGATACGGTGAAGGATACGGCGAAGGGCATGGTCATGGAAGTGGCTACGGTCGAGGATCTGGCTATGGCGAAGGTTACGGCTCCGGTTCCGGCTCTGGCTCCGGCCAAGGATCAGGATCCGGCTACGGTGAAGGTTACGGCTCTGGCTCGGGCTCCGGTCATGGCCAAGGCTCTGGATACGGTGAGGGTTCAGGAAGTGGATACGGAGCTGGTACAGGCTCAGGCTACGGCGAGGGACACGGCTACGGCTACGGCTCTGGTTCTGGAAATGGCAAATAAAGATGGCCCTCACCAGTGTGTGATTGCCACTGTCAGTTCTCTGAACTCTGATGTCCTCTTTCTGTGTATCCGTATACATAAATATAAGTATGTACACGCAATAAACTATGGATAAAAAATTGTACTGTACGCTCTTGTTCACCGTACATGTAAATCTGAGCAGTTGCCACGCCACTCTTATATCTTCGGCAATGTCTAACTTTTTCCTGGCGTAATCCAAATAGTACCTGTGTCATGGAAACATTTCTGTAACAGCCTCTGTTATCAACTCACGAGCTTTATCGTCTGAATCCATTTTGTCAATGCCAGCAACGTCGGCATCATAAAAATCTTTCATTTGGTGACACCATGCAGCGTTTTCAAGTTCCTGTTTTGTATGAATACTGAGCGAGGGAAACGTGTCTTTGCTATGTACTTCCAACAAAGCTTCTCTGAAACTCATCTTTCCTTTAGCATCTCGCTTCCAAATCTCAAAATAGAGAGCATCAAATCCCTTGTGAGAATGATCAAACTCCATGCTACGGATATGTTCCCTGAAACCGTATATAGCTAACTAGAAGTGGGGAAACATTGGGGAAGCCTGCTGCAATATCCAGCGCTTGAATATAAAACCACATCTCCAATTCTATTCCACCTATATGTCAATATGTGCCATCTTCCATATAATCTTCAATCCACTTAGTCTCATTTGCTAACACTTCACAGTACTGGACATATGCCAGATCTTCGTTGGTATTATTAAGAGTTGAGTGGTAAATCTAGATATGTGGCTACCGCCCGGACGTCCGGAGCCTCCGGACGCTCGCGCAGCCCGCCCTTGATCGCCTCGCCCCGCTTTGCACGCCCTCCCCGCCGCTGTTGCAGCGTCCACGGCTCCTTCCCAGCGACCTCCTCTCTCTCCGCGCGGACGGGACCCGGGAGCCAGGATGAGGACGAGCACGCCGCCGTCCGTAGGACCCAGGCGCACCACGCGCCCCAACCGCCAACACCTGGCTCGCCGCGTGCCCCATGACTCTCTGAACACACCTCTGAAACATTAAACATTTGAATGTAACATACGTCTCAAGCAGATAAAACATGCAACATACACTTGAAACATGTGTGTGAAACATATAAAACATCCAGATAAAATACTTGCAACATGAAAACACTTACTGCAACATAAGAATGAAATAGCTGAAACCATTGGAACATACTCTTGCAACATGTGTGAAACATATGCAACATCCAAATAAAAAACGCTTGCAAACATGCGTTTGAAAAAAGATGAAATATTTTGAACAAACGCTTACAACATGCCTCTAAAACACTTGCAACATCTCAATCTACTTTTGCAACATACCTCTAAAACATCTGAAACATTTAAAACATACGCTTGCAACATGTCAGGTGCGACACTCTAGTGGGCGGCGACCACCATGTTAGGCGAGCTGAGGAACTCGATAACCGCCTCGATGGGCAGATCGGTGCTAGGAGGCGACGGAGCGAAGAGCACCATGGACTTGGCTCCCGTGAGCTTCTTCTGCTACCGGGGTGCGAGGAGCCTCGAGGCCGGCGCGAAGGCACGACCGCGACGCCCTCGCTGCCTGCAGCCGCAAGAGGAGGTGATGAGGAGGACGCCGGCGCCAGCAACAGCGATGAGGGCGGGGTGGGTGGGAGGCACGACTCCAGCGGCAAAGCTGGCGTCGTGGAGGCGGGCGACTGGGAGGAGGAAGCGGAGGCGCGGAGCGAAGCCTGCAGCGAGCGCGGGCGGAGGAAGTGGAGCGGAGCCTACGGGAACACGTGAGACGGAGTGAGAGATATTTTTTTATTTAGAAAGACAGCGTCCAAACAGACGGACGTCCTTATCGTATCGTTATCCTTATCACAACTACAGAGCCTTATCCTCTGGTAGTCATCAATGTGCGTGCTTGCAGAGTTCAGGATCGAGGTACCGTTCAAGGCTTTCCTCATAGTACTTCAAAAAACCCTCATCATAAAGTTTGGATGAAGGGTACTGCAGTTTCAGATTCACATCATCCCAGCGCACCCAACTTCCCATCCACTGTCAACTCATAAGCTCTGATGTGGTACATGGCTTGCCGCTCGTACAACTCCATGAGCTTCTCAGGTTCGTGTTCAGGGCAATAATCACGCTCAGGAGAGTCGGAGTTTAGCATTTTGGTAAAAATATGAGTCTTCGAGATGGTTTCATCGTCTACGTCGAGGAGGACCTGCAGCCTGGAGGGGCGGCTTTCAAGCCCTGCAACAAATTTGCCTGGTCGAGGACCGAGCGTATCTCGGTTGACTCGTTCCCTGTGGTCGGAACGACCGGTGCTGGGTTCGATTCTCAGAATCAACTGGAGACTCACCTCGGGGATTTTCTCCCTGTTTTCGTCTGCGGCCTCTCTTGTGCGGAGCCATAAAAGAATTGTGACGTGCCCGTCGCCTACGGTGCCTTGATGGTCCCGGTGATCTAAGAAGGACACGATCTTCTGATGTGCAGTTGTAGATCTAGTTGTACACATGTGGTGTGAGTGTGTAGTGTGTGTGAGTAGCGTGGGCGTGTGTTCATATATAAACATGATACTACAACTGTAAGATAAGAGGCCCAAATTTGCCTGGTCGAAACTTGCCTGCACCTTGCCCGAGGTAGGTTTGGTTGATGTCTTGAGTAGCGCCTGTACCAGGCAAATGCGTGGGTGCCCAGGCGATTGACAATTTGAAATCGTGCGCCTGGTTGGAGTGGCGGTGTTGCCTAGGCTAATTGCTCTGATTAATTGATTGACTGGTGGAAAAGAACGTGACACGTGTTAGCTTTTTTTTTCCTCTACCGTTCCTCTTGTTTCTTTTGTCTGGTTCCTACTTCTCTTAAATAAAACTAAATAACATTTTTTTCTTATTATGGTGATTAGTTGCTTCATGTCCATGAATGGATCTATTAATCATGAGACAAAACTTAATTATTCTTTTCAAATACTTTTTCGCTGTTACTTGTTAGTCTCTAATACACATGTGGGAAAATAACACTAATCTAAACCATTTATTTATTTGAGTCAAACCATAAAAGCGTATGTTAATCATACACCTATACAAGTATTATAAACGCATTAGTATTATATATATTCCCTATTATTAGTTTGGAACACAGGTCTCCAACCAAATCGACGTTCTCTAGACTTATCTGGTCAGACAAAAATTATCATCTTTTTAGACAACTCTAAGACAACATTTTTCTCAGGCGTCACTCAGGCTTCTGACCAAACAGCCCTGGGCCACCGGGCGCAACCGTGGTTGCTAGCTGCTACCGTTTGCGGTCTGTCGACCTGCTTTTGCAGCGGCCAAGGCCTCTGTCTGTCCACTGGCGTATGGAGCTGGGAGGAGGAGCCGTTGCGCCGAGCGGCCACCCATGACTGCCAAGCGCCGAGCACCCGTCTGGCTGAGCAAGGCAAATAATACAGTCGGCTGTTGGCTATAATATTCTTTGTAGGCTTCTCTTAGCCTACTTATACAGTAGTTAGCTCTTCACTATTAATACATGACTCACTTATTTATCTCACAGAGTTTTTTGGTTCTTGTGCCTAAGCCGGCTGTAAGCTTAGAGCAACTCCATCAGTAGCCCCAAAAATAATGCCCCTCCTTTTCATTTGGGTGCTCCCCCACTTTTGGGCCCCTGTTTTTTTACTTTTACTCCAGCAGCACCACCCAAATTTAAGTCCCCAAATTCATTCCGGCAGACACTGACAAACAGGGTCCGCTCGTCATACTCTTTGTCTTCTTCCTTCTTCTCCCTACCGGAGCTCTCGATCTGCGTTGCGCTTGCGCGGTGGAGGCAAAGGCCAACGGCCACGCTCGCGCAGTGGAGGCCGGCGCCGCGCTCGCCGGAGCCTGGAGGGGAGGGTGGCGTGGTGGAGGCAGAGGCGGGTAGCCAAGCACGTGCTCATGTGGTGGAGGCTGAGGCTGGCAGCCACGCATGCGCTCGCTACCGGAGCTCTCGATCTGCGTTGCGCTCGTGCGGCCGGAGATTCAAAGAAGAGAGGGAGTGCGCGGCAGGGCCGCCGGAGGAGACCGCACCGCCAGCCGAGCAGCCATCGGAGGGGAGAGAGGGGACCGAGCAGCCACTGGAGCGGAGAGAGGGGACCGAGCAGAGGGAGGAGAGGCGCACTCGTTGGAAGGATTGGCGCTCGCCGAAGCTGGAGGGGAGGGGGCGCGGTCGAGGCGGAGGTGGGCGGCTGCGCTCGCGCTCGCGCGGACGGAAGCCGGATGGGGGTCGGGGTATGGGGCCAACAGGAATAGAGTCTGGAGGAGAGATTTTGGGTGCCCACGTCATATTAGGGGCTTTAGCAGGAGCTCTGCTGAAGCTGTGTTTTTAATTTAGGCATCTATATTTAGCTATGGGGGTTAAGTAGGGACCCTACAAAAGTTGCTTTTATAGCCTGTTTCTCCTCTCTCTTTTTCTCTCTCTTTCGTGTTAGTATTTAGCCAGTTTACAGCTTGGTAGTCGTTATACTTTGCTTTTAGGGCGCCCGCCGTCGAGGCCTCAGTGGGTGGGGAGCGATGCGGTCTGACGCTCTGTCTGTGTGCCTGTGCCCCTGCACCCTAAGGGCCAAGGCCTAACCAGGCTAAGTGATGGCTCTGGCCTGCTAGCCAGACGACCCAGTCCGCTTGTGCACCCGCCGCTTGCCATAAGTTTCGAAGCCCAGACTCCAGTTATCACTTTGGGGATTCCACTTCCCATCGTCCCATGCTTGCCCTTACCCGCCCGCACTCCCGCTCGCCATTTGGAAGTTGTCACCACTCACCAACCACCCCATCCATCGCTTCCCTTCTCGGCTGTCTCCGGCAACACGACGAAGGACTACCACGTCCCGGGGGGCCGGGAACCAGACGATCGATCCACCGAGCCATGTCCAACACCGCCGCGACATCCCGGCGCACAGCCATGTCGTCGTCGTCACCGCCGCTTTCTCTTCTTCTCTGCGTGTCGCTGCTGCTCTCCTCTACGGTGCAGCAACCGCCTTCCACCCAGGCCCAGCAAGCAGCAGTGCAAGCCCCCGACCCGTCCTTCATGTTCGGCTGGCTCAACAACAAGTGGGCGTACACCGCCGGCGACACCGCGGTCATCCAGGTCATGTCCCTGGACCTCCGTGCCGCCGCCGCCGTCCGCGCCTCGCTGTCCTTCACGTTTTCGGTGAACGGCAAGGAAGGCAACAGCAGGTACGTCACCGACGTGGCCGCCAACATCGGCGCCGACCCGAACGCCTGGACCGTCTCCTTCGTGCCCCTGCGTGCCGGGAACTTCGGCGCGCTCGTCGGCGAGAAGCGGTTCGTCGCCGCCGAGTGGCCGCTCACGTTCACGGTCGCCGCGGCCGGCGTGCACCCATCGGCGTCGCGGGCGTCGTGGACGTTCCCCGGCCGGCGCGTCGTCGCCGGGTCCAGGGCGTTCGTGTCCATCGCCCCCCGGGACGCCTTCGGCAACGGCATCGCGCGCGGGCCCGACATGCCTGGCTACTTCAGGGTGTCGGGCTCCTTCCTCAACGGGTCGGCAGTGGAGCTCTGGGACTTTCACTACAACGGGTGGACGGAGGATGGACGCATCGGCGTCGAGTTCAGGTCGAATGTTGCAGGCGACTTGTTGGTGCATGTTTACGGGGACGATAGGGAGCTACGTGATTCGCCTCTAATGCTCACAGTGAATCCAGGTTAGACAAGTACTCCTATATGTACTTGTACTTGATTGAATACTCAAAATAACTTGTGAACGGCTTTGTGCATGCGTCCATGTTGAATGCTGATGCAGCTACTGGATAGTTTCATTTAGAATCTTGGTCTTCTCCCAGCAAAGTTCTTGATGTATTTCATCAGATACTATTTACTAGTCTAATGCTTCTCCTCATTTTGTATTACGTAGCATCAGATGCATATTCATGCTTTCGTAACAAAAAATGCATATAACAGTGTCATAATTTATTGTGCAAGCATATGTAAATTTATTGACATTTTTTGTGGAAATGTCAATAATTCGTCGATGTATTTTACATATGCCAGGTGTCCTTAACATAGCAGTAAGCACATGCAGCTGGAAGCATGGAATCAATACTTTGCAGGTGTCTTCCAAGCTGGAGATATTCATATATCAGAGAGACTCCTTTGGAAATATTGTTCCAGATATCCATCCATTCGATGCTCAAGTAGTTGATAAAGCCACAAATTTGTCCATCCCAATAGTAGATCTCGCGATGGAAGCAGTAGCTGATGGAGTGCAGCTCCTATCTTTTAATGTTGTAGAGGCTGGACAATTTTTTCTCACAGTTTTTTATGCTCAACTGGACGAGAGGGTTTCCAACAGTGTGCACATGTTTGATGTTTTTGTAGGTATGCAACTATACTCTTTAGTTTGCTCATCAAGATGCTCGATTCCTGATCATGGCTGATTTTGCTACGTTGCTACTTTCAGGATATTGTGATGGGTCAAACAGTTTTGCAAATGGGTCTGGTTTGGCAAATTCTATTGCTGGCTCAGCGTCATCCTTTTCTGTTTTCTTGTTGGATCACTACAGAATCCCTTCTCCAGTTGAAACTGCAAGGCTGCAAGTGAAGATTTTGGGTAAAAATGCCACATCTTACGCAGACCCAATCATAACACCTGCAAGAGAACCAAATGGTAATGTTGTATGTTCATTTAGCGGTTTAGCCTCCTATTAACCTTAATTTTTTTTAAAAAAAGGATCCATTTTTAATGGGGTTAAGTCCAATTTACACCCTCCAACTTGCAGCAAAGTTCGGATTTCAACCTCGAACTTCAAAACCGGACAACTTTGGCCCTCCAACTCTCGAAAAAGTTCAACTTTCGACCTTCAGGCGGTATTGCGGTAGAACAATAACTTTTGATATTTTAAGTCTCATCACGCGACAAAATTGTTTCACGCATCTTAATGAGACTCAAATTTCAAAAATAGAAAACCTTCAATACGATGTCGGATGAAGATAATTTTATATGTAAATTGTATACCTCGATGAGATCTACAACTTTGTAGTTTTAAGTTTTTTCATTTGAGGACAGTAAGATGCTCGAAAAAATAATATAAAATTTTAGCACCATATTTTATTGCGTGATGAGACTCAAATTTCAAAAAATAGAAAACTCTTTAATACGATGTCGGATGAAGATAATTTTTATATGTAAATTGTAGACCTCGATGAGATCTACAACTTTGTAGTTTTGAGTTTTTTTTCATTTGAGGACGTTAAGATGCTCGAAAAAATAATATAAAATTTCGGCGCTCCCGAAAATATCAAAAGTTACTGTTCACCCGCAAAACCGCCCAGAAGGTCGAAGGTTGAACTTTTTCGAGAGTTGGAGGGCCAAAGTTGTCCGGTTTTGAAGTCCAAGGTTGAAAATCCGAACTTTTCTGCAAGTTGGAGGGTGTAAATTGGACTTAACCCTTTTTAATGAATCCTAAAATTCTTTTTGGCTTGAATGTTGAATAAATTCACTGAGATGATATCTAATGAAGGAGAAAATTCTATCAATTCAGGATCTGCTGACCACCAGGAGGCAAGTACCTTATTCTTCAGCTTAATTTTAGTTGGTACAGATAAGTGGCATGATCACTGAAATTCTATATGTTATTAGATCATTGCTGGGAATTCAAATGTGCAAACCAGTAAATTTAATGTCTCATATACTCCCCGAATTGCTGGCCAATATGAAATTTGGGTACTGTGTGGGAACATAGTGCTAAATGGTGGAAATCCATATGCCATGACAGTTTTGCCAGGTCTGATTACCTTTCTTATGTGACTTTATAATCAATTTTTTTACATTCATTTTTTTTGAAACATTTTTTTTTCAATGCATGAATTCACTACCATATAGTAATGCAATTGTAATTCTTGCATTCTGATACGCTACTGCTATTTCACATGTAATGTATATAGTATGATGATGCAAATGGATTATATTCAAGTGAAATATCAAACAAATTGAAAATGATTCATAATTTTCATGAATTCCAATGAGAAATTCTTAAGTGATTCGAATAAAGGATGACCACCTTAAAATGAGCCACCTATTTATGCAGCTCGCATAGAACTAACTAATGAGCAGCGTCTATCTTATATAGATTGATCTCTAACTTCCTGTACCATATATTTTTTTGAACGAATCCTGTACCATATATAACCTGCCCTTTTTATAGGTGCGATCAATATGTCTTTATCAAGTGTTGTCAAGTTTGACCCCAAAGTAAAATTATCAGTTGAAAATGAAGTTGTTGTTCGACTTGTTGACTCATTCATGAACCCGGTGGTGTCTTTCAAGTCAAAATTGAAATTTCAGCTGATATCTGCAAGTATCACAAGTACCACTAGTTTTGTGGCAAAAGAATTTGTTGACAATGGAGATGGATCATATACTGCTCATTATGTGGCAAGGGGTCTTGGTTCATATGGCATATGTGTTCTTTATGAGGATAAACAGCTGACTCCATGTCCATTCGACGTCACCGTTCTTGCAGGTAATTTTTCAAGTCCTGAAAGGTTCAGCACATAAAAGAAAAGAAATTCGTCACATGAGAGAGATTTTTTTTTTTGAAAGCAAGTCACATGAGATAGATAGTTAAGCTCTAGTTGGCAGAAGATTAATTGTCTCATTATATACTGAAATATTTTGACCATTCCCAATTTCTCTGCTTGTTTGTCGAGTAACTCTGATGAACTCTCTCTCTCTTTGCAGATGAATACTTTTCAGATGTTAAAAATGATACTGTTTAAGTGGGGGAGGATGAATCCATTTCCTTTGATGTATTGTCAAATGACCGCATTGCAGGAAGTAAAGTGGAAATAGCTAACTCATCTTCTGTAAGTTAATGCCATGAAATATGCGATTCTTAATTTTCCACCTCATAGCGATGATCTCTTCTCTTTGTTATACTTGTCGTCAACCCTTGCAGCTGCACATGCTAACCATCTTAACTGAGTTTTGGTGGCAGTATCATTGTTGAACAGTTTTACTACACGTTGCTTCGAAAACAAAGGAACTTGTGGCAGCAAAACATTATATTGCAACTGATTTCAATTTATAATACTATCCTTGAATACTTTGACAGGAGACACATGCCAGTTCTTTTCTTCTTTTAGATAATCTAAAGTCAATTCTGGCCTCTAGCTTTGGCAATGTACACAGCCCGGTCTTTATGACAAATGTTCAGCATAAAACTGATGTCAAATAGGAAATAGGAAGCTATTATCACAAAAAAAAACATGAATAAAAATCTCAAGCATTGCAAGTGTTTGTTAAGAGGAGTTAGAAGAAAATATCAAGCACAATGTACCCTAGTACAAAATTTCCTACGGAGTACTTATTACTTTATTTTCTCATTACTTCACATTCTGACTTAATGATATCCCTTTTCTCTGAAGCCACTTCATGGGTCAGTCCTGCAGTCTAGCAAAACCTACCGTTATACACCTTTCGAAGGATTCTTTGGGAATGACTCATTCTCGTATACAGTATGTGATGAGCATAACAATGTCGTCACTGCAACAGTCTTCATATCTGTTCTCTGCAGACCACCTCAGTTCATATCTTTACCCGGCAAGTTGCATGTTACTGAAGATACAATCAGCCCACTATTTGGGTAAGCCATAATGTCTTCTACCTAAGTATTGCATACTTGTACTTATTAGTATTGTTTATTATCTATAAGCGTAAAGTTTGACCTCTTTTGTTCTCTTTCTAATGTAATCAAATATGTGTATGTTTTTGGCAGTGGATTTCCGGGGATGAAAATGGTGTATTCAGATACAACAGAAAATATATCTGTTACAGTGACAGCACAGTCCGGGAGTGTGTTTTTTGATCCAGTGCGAATTAAACTTCAACAGCTATCAGATGATGTACTTTCAATCAGCAGCAGAGGTAGAGGTGGCAAAGACCTGATGTTACAAGGAACGATAGAAGTGGTAAATGATGCACTACAGTTTTTACTGTACAGTGGGTACTAATCAAGATTCTGACTCTCCCGGGTCTTGTACAAGCCCTATATATGTTTTACAAAGATCTTGCTAGTCCTTTGCGTATGGTAACCATGCATATCAATATGTGCAGAAACGAAGACTTCCACGGAAATGATGTTATATCTCTACATGCCTCGAGCAGAAATGGTGTACGAAGAACTCAGTTCCCAACCTTCGTTGAACCAATCAATGATCCTCCGGTGATACTTGCTCCAAGTTCAATTTTCTTAAGTGGGAACCAATCAATGGAAGGGCATCAAATATTTGATAAGCACAGGGATACATTTCAATTTTCCATTGTTGAACCTGATCTTCACAATTTCCCAGGTACTATATATAGATTGTTCATGGTGTTGTTTATGCACTGTACGAAAAAACATTCATTGATGTAGACTGACAGATTTTATCTTGCAGGGAACGAGTCTTCCTTTTTTCTAGTGCTCTCGCTAGAAGTCTTGGAGGGAACGTTAACAACCACCTTGCCGTCCAGTGCCATCGCCACTGCATCCATGAAGACTGAAGGCGTTAACGGTTGGCAGACGCTTCAGACATATGTGACCATCGCGAATCACTTCATACTGAAAGGAACCGCCATCAGGTTCCGTGGGAGCGTCCAGGACTGCAACAATGCACTGCAGCAGTTGCATTACCAAGTAAATCCTGAATCCTCAGATTATATATCAGTTGTTCGTTTTGTCACATTTCTTGCCCCCTTTTTTTACAGCAGATATGACTTTCTCTTACAGGGTCCAAGGCATGGAACAACGTTGTCCATCACTGTGAACGACCAGGGAAACCATGGATGCTATCCTGACTGTTCAGAGAGAATGACGATGCCACTTACCACTGCCAAGACTGTTCTTCTGGTTCCAGTCATCAAAACAAAACATGTGAACTCAAGGCGAGCTATCTGTAAGTACAAGAACTGATGATATTCCTGGGCAGAAAACTGAAATTCCATATAGTGTGGAGCTCATTTTGATTCTGTGCTTGCGGTTATTTTCAGTGTTTAGATGGTTGGCAGCAGCCGGGATCGTGATAATGCTATGCCTTGGATGTGCTCTCATGTGTTGCCTATGCAAATGCATGAGGGCTTTAAAGAGTGAGCGAAGATACAAAATCTATGGTAAAATTTGCACAACGGAGCAGACCCCATTTCGTCAGCATGTGAGCATGTTACTCTCTGAAACTTCCATATAGCAACCAGGGTGATCTGAGCAGCCATCAGTTTGACCTTTTGACGTTCTTTCTGATAGTTCATTTTTCTGTTTTTTGTTCTTCTGGAAAAAAGATGGGTGCTTCACCATCGCAATGCGAGGAGGCTGGATATTGCCCTGCTACTGCAACTGTGCCCCAGCTTGGTGCAAACAGATCAACTCTTCGTCAGAGGTAAGCACCGTTACTCGCTATGACTTCACATGTTTCTGTCGTGAATTTTAGCGTCAACAGAACACAGAACTCCAAATGCTGCAATTTGCAAGTGGTTCAGCACGCATAAAACCCAGCAGAAGCAATCAAGGTTCAGGCACGTGAATAGTTATTTTCCAAACACTCATATCTAAGGCTAAGTCTTACCCAAAGACTTAGCCTTAGATAGGAGTGCTTGAAAAACAGCTATTCACGTGCCTAAACCTTGCTTTTGCTGGGTTTCAACTCTAGCCTACCCCAACTTGATTGGGACTTAAAGGTTTTTTTTGTTGTTGTTGTTGTTCAGCACGCATAAGCAAAACCAGATAAATTTTAACAAATTAATCCAAAACCGTCGTCAGCGAAGAATCAAAATATTATATTTTCTGTGTCTAGAAATCACACGAGTCCCCTAATTGCCATTGTTCTCGATATTCCAGGTCTCCACGTTCATGCAAGCAAGAACTGGAACTCCAGCCAATCTCGGGGACCATAAACAATAGAACTGAAGATAGTCTTGCGGTTACAGACAAGGACAAATAGGCATTTTATGATTTACCCGTTGTCCGAACCCAAACTATCTTCTGCTCATCCCAAAAACTTGTCAGATGCCAGAATGCCACTGAACGAGTTCTCAGTGTAATAGGAGTACAGCAAAGAGTGTAGCAGAATGAGAATAAAATGGGGAAACTAGATGTGTTGCGTGTAACTGTTTTATTGACAGCCATTACAGATTGTTAGAGTTTCATGGGAACACAAGCATGCGGCCTCTCAGATGCTTCCTTTTTCTTTTAAGCGGCAGATAGAAGCTTCATCATACAGGCAAAAAAGAGTCAGTCAACTACTCACATAACTGACATTTCTGTGGCAAGTCAGGAGAATGACTGCTAACTTGCCGCTTGGTCTGCTGGATTGATGCATCATCTGGTGCTTCATTCGTATAACGCAAGCGAATGCAGCAGCAGTCCACAATCCTGTCACGTGGTCTCGCACAGAAACCATAATGGGGTACTACAGCTTGGTTCTCCACACAATCCTGTGAACTAGGAGGTACTGAACAGGCTTGCTGGGACCTACAACATGGAATGTCCAAATCATTACCCCAATTCGACAATTTAATATATCAGCATTCATTCCCACAATAACTGTTAGAAAAAACACGAAAACTATGACAATGGTTACGATTATCTGACAAGCCAAGTGAATTCCATAAACGAAGATTCAAACTACCTTCGCATTGTGTGGCATGATCTTTATGTCATGAGGTGGATGAAGCCAAGATTCAGGGGCATATGATAAGAAGTTCTCAAGCTTGCTCGTGTAAATATCAGCGTATTGATGAATGTGATAGGCAAATGATGATTCCCTTCCAGTGTCTGTAAGAAATGTTGCACCAAAAGAGCTATTGAACAAATCTCGCATCCCAGATCGACATTGTCGTCTTTCTGCATTCAACTCATCGAGCAATGCTCTATAGACTTGGCCTTTCTCGGTGCTAACCACAGTTGCATGGACTTTCCCAAGTAGATCATGTATTATACTCAATTTTGCCTGCAATGCAAGATATATATCGAGTAAATTGGTCAGCATCCATGTGGATGAAAATTCATGCACTAACAAACTGCATATGTGACGAGAGGAACCAATCATATGCATCAAATATAAAAGGTAAATGCCATCAGTGTATCTGTAGATCAATTCATGGTGCAACTGATTGCCTGTGTCATGTTTTAGATTTTGCAAACCAGGAGGACAGAGCCTATGATTTACCAACCCCAGTGCCATACAGCACTTCACAAAAGAAATAACAGCAGCAAGAAGTACCTACAGACTAAGTGAGTCGCCTGAACCAAATCCTGCAAGTAGATGGTGAACATTTCAAAGTGTACCGACCAATAGTACAGTATGGCAGTTTCCTTATTGCAGTCCCAATCTTAAGACTTAAGAGTAGATATTTGTTACCATCTCTGGATCAAAAATCCTTGTCTTTTTGGACAACAACATGTCTCCAAAACATTTGAGAGATATTGGTAGTAAAAGTTCTAAAAGCTCGTCCAAAACAACAAGAACTAAGGAACTGGAATCCAAACTTAGCTGTGTACACTTTCGTTACAAGTACCAGCTAAGTGTAAGGGGGACAAAAATAAAGTATTTGGATATCATAAACATGACAAGCAGATGATATAGTGCACACCTGTTGGAATCGATAGCTGTCACCGTTTTGGATTTCTATTTCATCCTAAAGTGACAAAGCATGGAACATTGTCAAATCGTACAAAACATATTATATGAAAAAATAGTGTGATAAAGTCAAGAAAAATCCAAAGGAGAGATCTTAAGATCTTAAAAAAACAAATACAGGTGTTCTTAAAAAAACAAATACAGGCGTGTTCATGTCCTCTAGTAGCATATCCAACATATTCAAGATCAACACAGCATAAGAGATTACTATTTTGAACATTTCAATACATTTCTCTTTATTTTGATCTATTCTCAACTCAAAACTTCTTTGGTACCAACACTCCAATAGGATCAAGGTAACCTTAGATTGAGGTATTACTAGTCAATAGGTGAAATATGAAAATGCTAAAGCAGTGGTGCTTGAATTTCATACAACAATGCCTCATGTGTGTAAAAATATATCTCCAGTAAAAAGAAAAGCATCTACCTCAAGTTCTCGAATTACAGCCGCTGTTCGCCAACCAGCTTTTGAAGGTCCTCTCAAGTCACTCAAAAGATGGTCACCAAAATATATCACCTAATACATAGCCCAAAAAAACTGAGATGAGAAATTCGAATGAAAATTTTCTGAAATTTAAATTTGGGCAGTTCATGTTTGTGTGAGCAAAGATCACCCAAATTTATATATTCAGTCATCAGGTTACTCCAATATACTATATCAGAATACAACAATAAGCAAGAAACATAATCAACATTCAGCAGATGAGCACAAAGGGCATGCAATTTTTTTTACTACTAGCTTCCACGATGCAAATGGTATGAACTATATTTATTTATATAACTTGAAAAAATACGGTATTGAATTAAGGGAGAGAAAAAAGAGTGAAAGCTGTATCACTCGGACAGAAGACAATTGAGAATACAGAAATTGATTCTTCTTTAAGACAATTGAGAATACACAATACAGAAATTGATTCTTCTTTAAGTTCAAAATAACCAACCTCTGGGCCTCTCCATTTTGTGATCTGCAGAAATGATTTCAAACAGCCATTGTAGTATACTTGATCTGGCAGAAACTTGTCAACTGCAGTAAAAGCTAAGGTGTCCTTTTGAGTGTCATACACCCTACAATACAAGTAACCATAAAATAGTTAGGAACCCAGAATTGAAGCAGATGTGATAGTGCAGAACTTAAACAAAAATAACAATAAAAGGAAAAAAATACAATAACTGGCGGCAATATAGGTCCAGGTCCTTAAGTGCCTGTACTTATTAACACTACTTTCCATTAATATTCAAAGTAACAACAGACCTACACAGATGCATCAGTGCAAAAAAAATAACAATAACATCTTAGCAAGGATCCAAAGTAATATTTTCTGGTTAGTAACACATAGATGCTCCACAGAACCTGAACGGGTGATCTGAGTTATAGAAAGTTGGTTTATTTGCCAGCGCAATCACAACATCAAACAGTTCCCTCCAGGAATTTCCATCAAAATGTTGGTCCTGCCCAACCAAATTGTGAAATAGTCATGCAGAGAATATGTGAGTAAGCATAAATCTTTTTCATAATACGCTGACATGATACATTCTATTTGGAATAACTCACCAAGAAAATTACAAGTAAGACACAAAATTAATAATCAAAAGAGTGTCATTTGCACTCCATACCAATGTCCCCTGTGTAGTAGTAGTATACAACAAACTCTTAATGAATGCTAGAAACAAAGGAAGGATGTATTATGTATATGCTAATTGTTCACTTTAAGCATCAAGAATATGTGTCAAGGGCTCAAGGCCAGTGCATTGAGTGGCCGGCATGTGTCAAGTTAAAACATGATTTCATATGCTCAAACCAAAAGGTAACCCTCAAAGAAAAGATATACAAGGTCAAGACGGACCTCAGAAAATAAGGAAAAAGGTTATATCGAAAAATATATAATGTTATTCATGAACTAAATAGAAATCTGTTGTGGTTAAAATCTTGCCTTTGAGTGCTAAACAATATGGACAAAACAAAACATACAAACAGATTTAAATTTAGAAACAAAACCTCTAGCAAATAACGCATCCCTCCATCTACAAAGTAGAAAGGTGAATTAGTAAGAAGAAATAGCTTTTTCCCTTTCTCTTTAAGCATCTTCAAGAAACGGAACACCTGGCTCTGCAGGTCACAGGTGAGGCAACAGTCTTAGAGATAACATATCAGAAAGAATGTCAGAAACAAGAAGCAGCATAAGGTTAGATCATTGATATTTAAAACTTCAGATTAAAAAAACAATAAAAGTGTGACACCTACTTTTTTTATCAGAAATTTCTGAGGCTCAGAAAGAATTTGCCTGTGAATTAAACCACTTCTGTGAACATGCTGAATCGATTTGTTTACATCCTCGTATACATAAGATGGATCAAACTCCAGTTTTGCATCTATAAAGTGCTGAACAATATCGGCAATCAGACATGCCTGTGAAGAAATGATCATCCCATAGTTAGAATGTATTATGGAGGGAAATAAAAAAGAAGTACTACTCGGATCATATTTCCAGAGGAATTGCAAATAGATCCACCTTTCTTTTGTTTCTAGGTCATAGATTAGTTCACTTCCCCTTCTAATTCAATAGCCCTTTTCCAAGTTTCTCGTATCACTTTTGGTTTTTATTTTGGTTAGCACTACCAGAGATAGGTATGGAATCTAGGGGGGGTTGTGGAAGAGTTGGGTTCATTTCCCTTTACAACTGATATGGTGAAAAAGAAAGCCAGTTTAGTTGCACGGTATGATCTCAGAGAAATTACTTAAATTAAAAACAGTACATGATACTAAATTCAGTACATAGTAGCTCTAGTTACTAATATGTGATACAGCATTGTCTATAAGTGCAAAACATCGCTCCACATGGCAGGTCAGAACTACATGCATAGCTACATACCCTTGAAGAATGATCTAACACGCATAAAGTTGATATATGAATGCAGAACATATAAATCTAATAAACCTATGAACAAAGCATTAACCATATACTGGGTGATAATATGGTGGTTTAGTTGACTGATAGCTAGCTATTCTGTAAGTAAAAGGACACAGAGTAAAAAGAAAATAATAGAACTAAGGCTCATATGAATCCAAATGTACCTCACTAAAACAGAAGACATCCATCAGCCCAACAAGGTGACGAGCTTGATCTCTGCCAATATGACGTGTGCCATAGAGCTCTTTTATCTCACTCAAACTCAGCTGATTAACAAGCATTAAGGTAAGAATTGTATTAATAGGATGTCAATAGACATATTTTTACATAATGTATGTGCCATAGAGCTCTTTTATCTCACTCAAACTCAGCTGATTAACAAGCATTAAGGTAAGAATTGTATTAATAGGATGTCAATAGACATATTTTTACATAATGTATTATTGTTGAAGACAAAGAAAAAGCATAAAAATATCTCATAGAAATTCTTTAAACTATCAACATGTGTAATCTATGCTCAGATGTATTTAACTAAATACACCGGCCAAAATTTGAGTTCAACAGTTAATAAACAACAGACAGAGTGGTTGCTCATGAGAAGAGAACCTAGATATTTACATATTAATATCCCAAATATGTAGCTAATGCATAAACCAAAAAAACAGTCAGCATTGACAAACTTCTAAATATAGTATGAAAAGAAACTCAAGTATGCATGAGCTAGTCTTTGCAAATTGGATGCAACCGTTTGAGAAAATAATGGATAAAACAATGAAGTTTGAGATCAACAGACCACCACTGTCAGGCAATCTATCACATTGTCTGAGCCTAAATGTTTACATATGAATTAACCCAATAATAATGACGTAAACCAGGCAACATCAAAAACAAGGCTAAAAAACTTTTTTTTTAGGGATAAGCGGGAGTTGCCTCCTAGTGCTTATATATTATAAATAGATAAAACAAATATATCTTGTAAAGGAACTAAAGCGTGAATAGTAGTTATTTAAGTTGGATGCAGAATGGTTGAGATAAAAAGGAGAAACAATAAAGTAGAGAACATATTACCCTCTGCCGCCCAAAGAAGCAACCATCTGGTTCAATAGAGCCGAAGAAATCGAGCTTGAGAAGGCACCCTTTAAGTCTGTCATAGTACAGACCCCTGATGGGAAAGGTGCGGTCATACTCGTACTGCAAGCAACTCTCCGGATACTTCAACTGCAGAAACCACAAGCGCAGCATTCTGTCATCCACGCAACGATGCAATGACACCCAAGAAAGAGAGGAACCAAACCTCATTGACCAAGTGCTTTTTGGCAAGATCGTAGATGAGGCACTGCAGGTGCTCGGAGTAGTGCGACAGCGTGTAGTCGTAGTCGAAGCCGTAGACCTGGAGGTCGCCCAGCTTGACGTTCTTGTTGACGTAAATGCCTGAAACCCGAGACACCAAAGCCAGGCCAGCAATGTTAATAGTCTGACTGAAGAACCGATCTGTAAAGCAAGACGGACAGGAGGACAGAGAAGCGAATGCGCAATCGAAATTCTTTTTTCCCGACCTTGCGGGTTCATCTTGGGCATGCCCTTGATGGCGGCGGGGATGCTGAGGTAGTTGCGCTTGGCGTCCTCGAACTCGCGGCGGATGCGCTCGATCTCGTCCTCGCCGGCGCCGGACCGCAGCGTGGTGGAGAGCGTGCAGAGCGCGCGCAGGCCTGTAGGGAGAAAACCACACCCCCAAAGTCAAGAGAGACGCAGTCAGCAGTCAACCCCACCCCCGCAGCGGCATTCCGTCGAACGGCTCGAGTGCAACAACCTCGCGAGGACCGCAGCGCCGTCGCGGAGAGCGCCGGCGACAGGAGGAGACCGTAGCGGTCGAGGAGGCGGAGGCAAGCCAACGCCATCGGGGGGGCCTGCCTCGGTTTGTCGGTCGGTCGCCGGCGTGGGGAGGAGAGGGGACGCGGGAGATGGCTGCTTTTCCTAGGCGCCGACGGGAAAAGGTCGCGCTCGCAGTTGGACGGGAGAAGTGCAGACGGCTGACACGTCGGGCCAGATGCTGGACGTGTCCTGTCGCTGACGCGTGGGGCCACATGTACGTCCCGCCCAGGGGAGCTCGTGGGCTGGTGGGGTCGCGCGGCCTCTTCTGCGCGACCCACGAGGCCTGCTGCTGTGACCACGCAAGTGGTGTCCAGTGGCGCACGGCGCCCATAGGAAAAGGAGGCCCCGGAACTGGAACTGGAAGAAACGGGATCCTCGTGTCGGTTGGGGTAAACCTGGAGGCCCATCTCCGCGCGTACCGAACTCAGCCCAAACCAGGTGATCCCCTGATCCTATCAACAACTCTGGGCTCCCAATTGCCATGGGTGCAGATCACGCAAGTTGCCGTTCCTCAAAAAAAAAAAAAAAAAAAAAGATCACGCAAGCTACCCCGTCGCTCGGCAAGCCCACGTAATAGGCGGCTAGGCGCCCCGCCGTTCGGGGCTTGGGCTATATCATTTGAGAGAGTAGGTCATAGTAATAGTATTTTGGCATTCCACTCAAAAAAAAAGTATTTTGGCATTGTCGAAAACACGGCATGAAATACTTTAAACCATGTTAGCATGGTACAAACGCGAGAGTCGAACAGTGGCTAGAATTCCAACACGATGAGTTGCACGGCCTGGTCCGCATTTTTTTTTCTATTCTTCACCACGAAAATGGCACTCAAGCAATATCTACAACGCTACAATATAATTTTCTAGTATTTACTATACTACCTCTTATCTAATTCTTGAAATAGATCATGAATATTACTTTCATAAAAAATGGTACATGCAAAATCTATTTTTGTATGTTAGGAGCAGATAAAAAAAACAAGCAAAAGATATTATGAGGGTCATGCTTGGCTGGTACAGCACAGAGGGCCCGTTCAAGAGGTCATTAATCCGGAGTGGCAAGGCTTCTCGTGCCATGTGGACATAACCCAACGTGTCTCACATGCCTAGAGGTCATAATCCGGAGCGAAACACTGAGAGGGCGTGCCATGCCAAGTCTCATCATCTACCAACATGCATGGAATAGACCAAATGATCCATTGGACAGTTGACTCAATCTACTAAAGCAAGGTCAATAGATCACAAGATTGGCCTTAAAATCTAAAATGACTCAATGACCATAACCTATTAATCCAATAGGTAAGATAGGTTGACCCAATCGCCACAGAGCAATCTTTACTTTAATTTATTGGTCTTTTATTTTTTTTTCAAATAATCTCAAGGTATACTTGAAAGTAGATCGGGCGATGTCATATTTTGAAAGTGAAAATAGGTAAAAATTAAAAGCACCATTTACTTGCAAACTTATTTAACTTGATGTATTGCTAACATTGTCAGCGTGTTATCATGATACTTTTAAATCTTTCATATCTTATCTTGAGCTGTTGATAGTAGTATCCATGGTCCATGATAGAAAAATTAGGTTGACCCATTGTACCCATTGTACCGATAAGGTTATAACCTTTATTAGTTAAATGAATGAATCCCTCTAAAATTAAGTTCGAGGCCACGAGGCTAGGTTCAAGACTAAGACTCTTGAGCCGGATCGGCTCATTATTCCCCTCCCTCACCGATCAGCAGTCCAACTTGGAGGCTCTGAACGAATGCGCGAATTTCCTCTTGAGCAAGCGGCGTCACCCAGGCCAGGCCAGACCCGACACGAACGTAAATCCAATCCTGCAATCAAACGCGACGGAAACCCGAAGCCAAGGTTGGAGTCATGCATGCATCATCTACGTGGATGTGGATGCTCTCTTCAAAAAGTCGAACAAATTCTGTGCCGGGGAGAGCCATGGCGCGCGCATCTGGGCAGAGAGGTGCGGCCGCATGCAGCTGCTGACTGCTGCGTCGTGTCGAGAGCAGCACGGTGGCGTGCCTCGCCGCCGCAGAGGCCGGACAAAGGATTAGTACGACGACCCAGGGGAGGGGAGGGCAGTTTTGCTGTGTACTCCCTCCTCCGTCCCTAAATGTTGCTGTATACTCACTCCTCTGTCCCTAAATGTCTATCGTTTTTATTTAGCGAAAAACAACTTTGACTAAATATATATTAAAAAATATTAATATTTATGATACATAATTAGTATCATTGGATAGATATTTAAATCTAGTTTTTTACTAAATTTATTTGAAGATAAAAATATTGTACGTATTTTCTATAAATCAAGTTAAAATTATCGGTATATAAATCGTGGCGACTAATATTTAGAAACATATAGCCCCACGACACTGTGCTGTGCCGCTGCTTTAATTTGACGCCCAATGCATGCAGTGAGCTCGTGGAGGACATGCATGCATGGCCCCGATCGATGTTTCGCTGTGTGCGGCGATGGAGTGTGGACTAGCTACGGTGGCGATGCCGTGGGCGACGTTTGCTTCTTGTCCTCAGACTCAAGAGAAAAAGCGCTTTGAATCGGCGAGAGCACACTACGGCAGCGGCTAGACGGCTATAGCCTTTTTTTTACACCTCTCATTGGGATATAGCCGTAGCGTCTGTTGGCGTATAGACACACACCTACACCATACACATGTACACCTTACTCAACCAGACCTATAACTATATATAAATACGAAAACACGTCTTTGGAGAGATCACCACAGACATTAAGGCTCTGTAGGCGCAGACGACGGATGCATCACAGTCCCCTTATGACACCAGGCTCCACTGAAATATTATTGTGGGAGTAAATCCCGGCGAGAACACCAGCGCTGAACCTGAGATTCGAACGCTGGTGGGCAGCGTGCACACCTGCAACGCATGCCAACCGAGCTAGAGCTCGTTCTCTCAGCCGGCTATAGCCAGTACTGATGATCGTGCATATCCGTATGCCCAGGCCGGCTCAGGGCTTGTGTTCGGTAGCTCTACCGTAGCTTCACCTCCACGTACACATATTATGTCTAATTGTTACTTGTAATCAGTATTGTATAGCATTAGAAGTTATGCAGCGTACCCTTAACTTGGATAAGATAATACAATTTTAGTTTTTTTAGTTTAGTTTATTGGTTAGAGTTCAGGTTTCATATTTTCTAGACTTTAGTTTCAGGTTCATTGATATGTTGAGTTTTTTTCAGTTTCAGTAACACCGTTTAGTGCTTTCAGTTTTAAAACTTTAGTTATTTCAAATTTAGTATGTTTGTTTAGTGCTTTTAGTTTTAAAACTTCAGTTTTTTAGTCTGTGTGAAGTTCAGACTTGGTTTCTCCAAGATACATGTGTCGCTATGATTATATATCTTCTTGTCAATTAGTTGTTGATATAATGTTTTAATGAATTATTGAACCGCCCCTACAAATAGAAATTATAGGGGCGGCTGGTGTTACAATCGCCCCTACAAATTATTTTTGTAGAGACGGCTGGTGTTACCAACCGCCCCTACAAATACAGTTGTAGGGGCGGCTGGTGACATAAGCCGCCTGTACGAATCGATTTGTAAGGGCGGCTTGGGAACCGCACCTACAAACCCTTAATTTGCAGAGACGATATGGTAGGGGCGACTAGCAAAACCGCCTCTACAAACCATCGCCAGCCGCCCCTACAAATGCTTACTGTAGTAGTGACTTATACACAACCAGACCTACAATACACAGATACAAAAACGCGTCCTTGGAGAGATCACCAGTAGACACAGGCGAGATCACCAGTAGGCACAGCCGACGGGCTTATGGCACCAGGCTCCACTTAAATGTTATTGTGGGAGTAAATCCCGGCGACAACACCAGCGCCGAACCTAAGATTCGAACCGCTGGTGGGCAGCGTGCACACCTGCAACGCATGCCAACCGAGCTAGAGCTCGTTCTCTCAGCCGGCTATAGCCTAGTACTGATGATCGTGCATATCCGTATGCATAGGCCGGCTCAGGGCTTGTGTTCGGTAGCTTTACCATAGCTTCACCTCCACGTACACATATTAGGTCTAATTGTTTCTTGTAATCAGTACTGTATGGCATTAGAAGTTATGCGGCGTACCCTTAACTTGGATAAGATAATACATTTTTACGTTGTTTGGTCTGTGTGAATATAGGAAACTGTATCGTATTATGCGTGTGATTGGTTTCCTGCATAAGTGGCCAAACTATGTCTTAGGCTGCAGAGCGGGTGCAGGAGGAAGGTGCATAGTTTGATACGTAGGATTTGGCTAAATAGTGGAAGATGCAGTCAGAGCTTGTTTTGATGACAGTGCTAGCCTGTATATGGACATATACATGTAACCAAACATGAATGAATTGCACCACATGTGGGAGCCTAGATGAGAAATTATGCAGGCAACCAAACAGACCCATTATAACGGAAACCTAGTGAGACAAACATAGCTTCACCGACTCCTTTTGGTTCCTAATCGATTTCTAATAGCTTTATTAGCTTCAAAGACCAACTAAAACTACCGTTCTTCATGGAAGTTGTGATCATCGTGTGTTGGTCTATTTGGGCAGTAAGGAATGATGTTTTTTTTCAGAAACATTCCTGCTCAGTGCAATGCTGCAAGTCAATCTTCGAATCGGAGTTTGCTCTAGCTATTCTACGAGAAAAAACCCTATTAAGAAGTATTTTCTCGAATCATGTTTTATTTTTTCTTTTTACATTTTTTTGCCAAAACTGAACATGAACACTACATATAATGTCACATATTTCAGTCCAATGTCTATAATTTTTTTTCAAAATATTTCTTTGCTAAAATGAACTAGAACTGCTGCAAAAACCCTATTAGATTGTTCTTCTTCATAGTTGAAAACAGTGAAACGTTTCTCTGTGTTCCAGAAAAAATCACCACACCAATACACAGACAAGAATCGGAACCGATTCTGATTCCTGTAACCAAACGCGCCTGTCCGGTCCGTGATCCTGGATTCCTGGAGCAGAGGAGAAACCGGCCCCAAGG